TGTCAGTTCACTTCTTCTCACAAAACAATGGCAACTTGCTTTACATCATTAGTAATAATGATACATTTCTCAGATATTTCATTAGTGAGAATGAACATTTCTCAGATATTTCATCTTCCTTATTACTTATTCAAGATGTCGACAGATTGTTTCAAATCTATTTCATCAATGAGAGTGAAACTGTAACTGTGAAACTGTAAAAGTCCAGTTAAAGGTACTCCTAAAGTCTGCGTTGGAAGTAGTCCACTGCAGAATTAAACTTAAAAGATACTCAGGATAATAGATGAACAAGCATGATGTTCAGGATAAAAAACTTGGAATCTCCTATAATGGAAAAAATAATTTGTAATAATAAAATATAAATTGTATTAGTAAGAATAGTGTTCATATATGAAAGAAAGGCAGCTATCTACAGTTAAACTATTGACTAACATATATTTAAAACATGTAGTTATTGTTAAGTTAGTTAGTAGTTAAGTAAAACTTATTAAGTTAAGACATTTAAATGCCTGGCAAAATTTACATTATATAATATCATTATTAATAGATTTTCATTATTCAATAAAGTTTTTTAATTATAATCATCTTATAATAAAGCTATTTTACCTCTGAGATATTAACAAGTCACAAGTTACCTAACAATTCATTTATTCAAATATTTAAGTATAACAATTTTATACATGAGATTCATGCTTTTAAATATTCTTTTTATGAAAATAATTATGAAATGATTACTTATTTTTCAAAGCTGAAGTTATTTTGTTTATATATAATATTCCAATTATTAATTGATGAATTGAAAACTTTGTCTATCAAAACTTACTTCAAATTTGCAAACTCGTATCATGCTTCATATTAAGTTCAATATTGTAGAATTCGATCATCCAAAAAAGTCAGCAGCAAACAAGCCTAGCCTGTTGTAATTCTAAACTTCATAATATCAGCTGCTTTAATACTTCCTGACAGAAGTAAAGTGCTACTTAAACATGAATAATATATGAGATATTCATCTAAATATATTATTCTAAAACATTGATGAAATGAATTTCTATGTTTTGTCATACTTAGGTAAATTTCCACCATAGTATATTATTTCCTACTATAGTACATTATAATTTTACAAGTATAAGTAAGTACTTTTTTATCAGATTCACAAAAACTATCATAAATACACTCGAAGAAACAGAAACAAATCCTACTGGGTATACTAGTATATACAATATGATATAGTATGCTAGGCTTATTATATATAGTCATCATTATAAGCTGCTACTCCTAAGTGATAGAAATCAAATAAAATAAGAAATTTAAATTTTTGATATATCTAGTGAATGTATGATAAGATTGCCTAGTTCTAAAAGAAATAGTACTTTGCCACATACATAAGCTGGAAGTTTTATGGAACATTTTTTCCTACAGAATTGATCAACTAGTTTCATCTCGATTTAGCTACTTAAATTAATTGTAGTATTTTCAAATATATAATATTTAAATACTTTATTTCACTTACTGTCAGGATAAGATCATCTCTCAATTTGACAGCTCTATCTTTGAATCTTTTTGAAATTGAGATTGATGTTGATTAAAGATTTCTGCTTCAGATGAAAAATTAGAATACTGTGCTGTATTTTTGCAATGTAATCTCCTTTAGAGCGGTACTTTCCTAAAGAATGTTCATTAATATAAAATAGTCACTTCGCAAAAAAAAGGATCTATAGATTTACAATAAAGGATGTAATTGTCTTTTATAACCCCCCTTAGTTGGTTATATTTTTCCCTGTTTTCATATGTTTTTCTTCATTATTCTCCTTTCAATTTATAAACTGGCTTTATGAGTAATGCGCAATAGAATTAATTAAAAACCACAACTACAACAAAACTTGAATAATTTAATCTTGATTGAGATGCATTCTCATCAACGGTCACACGATAAATGATTTCGTAGCTGTCAAATTGTATCCGGCGCGCAGAATGCTCTTTACTCTTCTTTTATCTATGTATGTAGCAAGAAAGCGGGGCCAACCAATCAAAAAGCAGGATGAAAATTGTCAAGAAATCAGGACCGTATTTTAACTTTTACATTTTTTAAATAAATATCTAAATTAATTTAAAAATCATTATAATAATTTTATTTGCTCAGATAATACTTATAAATGTATTTTCATTTTTAAAATACGCTGCGACTAACTAATAAGAACAGGATATTGTAAATATTAAATTTTTGAGAGAATATTGGCGGAAGGTCAAAAATTGTTTTATATTTGCGCGAATAACTAAATTGTCTCTTATAGTAATTGTCTTTTATACGATGCCTATTTACTATTATTTTAAATGTTTATACAATAATATTAATGTTAAAATACCATTCCCATCACCAAAACTTATTAAAATATCCCAAAACAATAAATTGACATTTTTAATTTAAATAAATATTCAAAATAATTACCCCTAACATTTCAGCAGACGGTCCTGTGCGATAGGAACGTGCTGTCAAATTCAGAATTGTGACTGTTCCCCTGGCAGAATGACGAGATTTTGTATGAAAAATTAATTTTGCCGAACATTTATCGAACTGAAATGCATTCATACTACCAGGGTAGCAGACGCAAATCCGAAGAGGGAATTGCGTCAGTATTGCGCAGGGCCGCCTACTAAAATGTTAGGGGTCAAATGTTAGTGGTTGTTCTTAAATGTTTGTAATTGATTAAAAATAATATTTATATATGGCTATTAATATTGTTTATCAAGAGGAACCTGAAAAACTCATTAAATCACGTATATTTTATAATAAAAGAATCAAATTAATTTATTTATACATTTATTTATATAGTTTCAAAATATTACAAATATAACTTGAAAACAATGTATAACTTTAAAACTAATATATAATTTGTCCAATATATAATAAGATACATCTGAAAAATAACATTTCATTTTTATTAATATATCACAATCTATTGCATTAATTGTGCAATTTAAAATATCTATTAAATACCTATCATTATTACATTCATATACATTTTTTTTTAAATGCATTTTTACTTGCATTCATAAAAATATTTTTCAATCAATAACAAATTTTGTACGTAATATAAAATATCTATGGAATAAAAAATAATGAGAGTAAGTAAATCTAACAAGAATAAGTGAAAATTTGTGACCAAAATTTTATAGGTACATTCGTTGTTTTATCTCAAAAATTAAGCTTATTTGTTTAATAAGACACATTCAAAGTTTAAATAATTAAGTTACAATAAGAATTGTACCTACATCTTGCCAGAACATACTGCGGCACTTTTTTATCTTAACAATATCAATATATTAATTTAATTGAACATCACGGATTGTATAAAAATTTGTTTCAAACAGTTCATAAAAAATTCTATACAAAATACTTTACAAGAAACACTTCACTGGACTAAAAAGTCAATATAAAAATACATAACTAAAAACAAGTTCTTAAAGTTTACACTGTCGTCTCAGTTTTTTCAGAGAAACAAAGGCTCCTTTATTTGCTCCAACTCCCTTTGTATGTGATTATAATATTCATGCTCATATATTTAATATTATTCATCTTTTTTCATAGTCTGTTGTCTCTGCAAGCTCACAACTAGATACAGAAAAAATGGCAATGGAGCCTGCAGGAAACTGTGAGTCCATTTAAAGGTATTCCAAAAGTCTTTATCGAAGATAGTCCATTGCAAGTTTCACAACTTAGAAGATGCTCAGAGAAGTCAGGAAATCTGAATAGGCTTGTTGCTCTGGATTCTTAGAATCCCCTATAATTAACTAAGTTTAGTTTTAATCATAA